ACAGTGGCTGTGCCATTTTACATTCCCACCAGCAATATACAAGGGTTCCTATTTTCCCACATTCCTACCGACGCTCATTAATTTCTAGGTTTATTTTATTATTATAGTAATCTTGATGGGTGGGAAGTGGTATCTAACTGTGGGTTTGATTTCCCTTTTCTTAATGACCAATGACATGGAACATGTTTTCACATGCTCTTTGGCCATTTGCATGTTTTCCTTGGAGAAATAGCTCTTCAAGTCCTGAGGCAGATAGTACTATTAACCTCATTTTACAAATTAAGGAATTGAGGCCAAACTGGGATCAGAACAGAAGCAACAGAACTAACCAGATGGCAGAGCCGGTGGCTGGGAACTATGCCCCAATCTGCGTTAGTTTTGGAAGGGAAGGGGGCGGGCAGGATTACTGACCAAACTCCCTCCAAGATTCCACGGGGTTCGAGTTCAGAATCCCACGCTGGACGGTGGGTCTAGTACAAAATCAGGCGTGTTGATTCTCAGTATGTGCATGAATAAAAGAATAAAGTGAGTGCAAGTCCCTTCAGAGCTTCCTCCATCTCGAAATGTACCCCTGTCTTGCACAACGCGCCCTGGACTCACAACTCAGCTCCAGATGGTGTGTGCGCCCCGGGACGGCTCCAGACCATCCGCACACAACCCCCGCCAGCAAACAGAGGCTCCGGCATCGTGCCTCGTGGGCACCAAGTGAATTGGAAGCCTGTGTGTCTTATCTGGCTTGTTATTACATCTGGATCAATTCTTAATCTTTCAGTTTAGCTTTGAGCCGCCTGGTGACCTCTGACAGATCAGATATAAATCATTCCACCCTGCCCAGGTAAGAGGCGTCTCGTCAGCTGTGGCCCCGTGACATTTGAGGCTTTCCTGGAGGCCAGTCCCCCTCTGAAGGCAGCGTGTGGTTCTCAGCCGTGACCAGTGCAAAGGCAGGCAGATTCAGGGGGCTTTAGCGAAAGGTGAAATGAACAATGGCATGTCAACTCTGTCTTCGCTCCAGGTAGAAAGAGGCCATGCATATAGTCCACGCAATACCTCCGTGCTGAGAGTAACTTTCTGAGACACCGTAAGACTGATCTACTTTATTGAACTAGTCCAGAATTTGCCCTTTTAAAATTCAGAGAGGCAACACGTAAAAGGTAAAATGGGAGAAACTAATGTTGAGTGGTCGCCGCCTATGGGCCACGCATTGGAAATGACATAAACACACCGTAAAGCATTTAGTATCTCCAGCAACCCCACGTAGCAATGATCACTGTCACCATTTTACAAAGAAGGAATTATAGTTCCAGACATTAAAATGCCTTACCCAGTTCACATGGCAGGTAAGGATTGAATCTAAGACCTTGTATTTCTCTGACTTTTATCTCTATTCCCTTTATCACCTCAAAATCTCAACAGGAACTTCTGACTTTCCCAGACGTTTCTACCTCCAAATCCATGTGGAAGGATGGGAAAGGCTCTGGAGTTGAAGAAACCCAAGTTCAAGTGCTGCCCGAGCCAGTACCTACCAAGGTACAAATCATTTCACCTCTCTGCATCAGTGTTCTCATCTGCAAAATGGGATTGCTGTGAGGGCCAACTGAGTTAGGAGAAATGAATGTAATTTGAAAACTAAATGTCTTATTGTTGAAGAAGTCTCTTTAATGAAGTATTCACATTTTAAAAGAGATTCTTAAAGATGACACAACTTCAAGACCCAAAAGGATGCACATATTGTGGTGAAATTTTAGACACTAAGACAGTTTAAGCTTACTGTGAGAAAGCCCCTTAAATTGGATCTCACAGGTAAACTCTCATGATGCATAGACAGACTACCATATGATAAGGTTGGCGGGGCCTAATCATTGAAGAAAAATGATTTGTATTTTGTATCGTAGGTAATCCAGTATCTCAGGGAAGAAAGGAACTGACATCTCAGCATTCTGTCTCCCAGGGCTTGTTACCAATGGAAAGGAGAGTCTAACTTCCATCCGATTTGCTTATTTTGAAAGTTATTATTTGATCTTTATGGTTTCTGGACACTGAGAAACTTAATTTTGGCCAACCAGGACTAAGAGAACCTGGTCAATGAAAATCATGTCTGCCTGCAATGCCCTATCAGATCCATAGTTCTCATTGAAGACAAGAGGGAGCGATGTCAATAGAGCTTTATTTTTCTGATAAGAAACCACAACCCAAGCTTAATCTTCTCTACTATTCATAAACTCTTTTGTTCTCTCTTGCTCCAATTGCTCTTGATTTCTTGATTTTGGATCAAGATGACTCAAGTAGTCAATCAACAAACCAATCAGTCTACAGGGAAGCAACCCTGTGTAGTTGTAGCAGTAATGGTGGTATTAGTAGCGATGGTGGTGGCAGGAATCATAGTAGTAGTAGTAACATAATAACTAACCTCATTTGAGTACTTACTATGTACCAGGATTTATTCTAGTTCTATAACACTTTAACCCATTTAATTATCACAACAATCATATGAGATAGATACATGAATTTCCCCAATTTTCAGATGAAGACGTTACACCATAACAAGGTAGGTTATTTGCCCAAAGTCGAAAAGCTACTGAGTGCTGAAGTCTGGATTTGAACCCAGACAGTCTGAATTTAGATCCTTTGCTCTTGGGAATAATTCTGTTAATAATAACAGCAACCACATTTTACTGAGTGATGATTATGTGCCTGACTCTCTCTTCTACACTCACAAAGCCAACTAAACCCTCCTGGGAAATAACAAAAGACATCAAGAACTTATATTGCAGCAGACTGACCCACTGTTCCAGCCCCATTCACCAGGACAATGAGCTCTGCTGTTCCCCAATCCAAGTCCCTTCCAGGTAACAATGCTTGGCTCACCTTATCCTCAAGACTGCGAGTAATTGAAAACAAGGAAGTCTCTATCCTCTATATTTGACTGTTGAGAGCAAATTCCTCTACCCACTCATTTTACTTTTATTAATTCATCATAAATCTAAACACTATGACTAGCCTTCATTACCTTTCTATTGGACCACCTAGATAAACCACTGAAAACATATTCCTTACACTTAAATGCCTTAATTATGCTTTAAACACTTTCTTTTGAAATAATATTAGATTTTTGGAAGAGTCATAAAGGTTGTATCAAGATTTCACATATGCCCTTCATTCAGGTTTCCCTAATGTTAACATCTTACATACTGAACATCTTGCTTACAAAACTAAAAAACCAACCTTGGTACAATACTATTAACTAAACCACAGGCTTACCTGGGTTTCAGGTTTACCTAGTTTTTCCACCAATGTTCTTTCTCTGTTAAAGAGCCCAGTCCAGAAAACCACGCTGCACTCAGTTGCCATGCCTCCTACATCTCCTCCAACTCATGTCAGTTTCTCAGTCTTCTCTTATCTTTCATGACCTTGGCGCATTTGAAGAGCACCAGTCAGGAATTTCATAGAATGTCTCTCAAGTGGGGTTTGTCTTATATTTTCTCATAATTGGACAGAGGTTATGGATTTGGGGGAAAGAAAGCCACAGAGGTGAAGTGCCCTTCTCATCCTGTTACCTCAAGGAGTATGTGACATCAACATGACTTATTACTGGTGGTATTAACATTTATCGCTTGGTTACAGTGGTATCTGGCTTGGTTCTCCACTCTGAAGTTACTATTTTTCTCTATCCATACTGTATTCACTAGAAGCAAGTCCCTAGATCCAGCCTCCATTCAAAGGGAAGAGAATTAATCTCCATCTCTTAGAAGGATGAGTATCAAAGAATTTGTGAACCTCTATTAGTAACCACCAGAATCAGCAAATTTGGGGAGAGGGAGAAGTTTGAGGGCTATGAAATGATTCTGTTTCTTCATAAAGTTTTATTTTTACCCACTACTTTTAGAATTAATCAGTGGATCTTGGGTGATATGATTATTACCTTGTTGTTCTAATGGTGAGTTTTCTATTTTCTTCATTCCTTCTACCTTAATTATTTCCGTTATCTTCCAAAGAAGATTGGTCCCTTCTCTCATGTTCATTTATTAATTCATTTATTTATTTATTTTTATCAGTGTGGACTTGTGAATATTTTATCTTTGGGCTATAATTCAACATTATCACTATTATTTTTTTTATTATTATTTGCTTAAATTATTCCAACTTGGCCATTGGGATCTCTACTGAGTTGGCTTTTAGGTCCTTTTGATCTTCCCTCATCCTTTTCCTTTTTTCAATTTGGGGCACTTCTTTACTTTCTAACACTGCAAGATGTTCCAGGTTCAACCTCTATTATCCCTACCACAGCCCTAAATTCAGATACTTTTCCAAGTAGCCCTGATGCCTTTAGTTGGAAAATGATACTTAGAATCTAAGATCTAAGTGTTAATTATATTTTAATGCCTACTTCTAATAAAAAAAAAACCCTACTATACTTCCCTCTTCCAATAAAATTACTTATCATTACTCCCCAAAACACTACCCAACATCAGGCCTGCTGGTCATCTTTTTATATAAATATAAACATTGTCTCAGTCAATCCTCAACAAATTCTAGAAGGCAGATCCTAGTATTTATCCCCATTTTATCAAGCAGGGCCCAGAGACGTTCATTAATTTTTCTACTGTCACATAGCTGATAAGTGGTGGAGTTGGGATTTGGAGTCATTCTATAAGTGGGGTCGTAGCAAGTACCCAGTGCATCTATAAACATCTATAAAGCATTTATAACATCTACAAGGCATCTACCACAGTGTTTGATGCATAGAAAGAGCTGAAGTAATACTGTTATCTACAGTAATACTGTTATCTACAGATAACAGTAATACTGTTATCTATTTGTTATCCGCATTATTATTTGAATCCCCAACACCTACAGGAGTATCTAATTTGATATATCTGGACAAAAGCCTTTGAATGAACTCAGGCTCTGCAAGGGTAGCCCACAGAGCACTCTTTTTCACTTTGGGATTGATGCGTGCATTCTGCCCATCTCCCTACACACCTGTCTAGCATTGCACTCACCTGGCTGCTCCGTCCTCCGCAGTTCCTCATTTCCCTAGGAAGGAGTCGCCGTGCAGTGTCCCCATGAAGAAGACGCTACTGTGATGAATGGTTCAGTTGGAACTGCAGGGCATTGACAAATGCTAGCGTCATACATCACAGGGCCATCAGGACTGGCACTTTGGTAATGTATTATGTGAGTACATCATCGGAACGCTGTCACTCTAGTGATGAATTCATCAACAGATGGGGCTGCCCTAAAAAGGAAGGAGAAGATGGTGTGAGAGGAAGGGAAATCCTCTTCTTTAGGAGGAAGAGGTCTTAACAGTGAAATAGAAGGTGTCCAAACCCTCTAGCTGACAGGTGCTAAGAGTGCTGCTGGGCAGGGAAAGATGGCAGAGTACCATCATGGGTGGATTTTCAACCCAGAGCCCTAGAGCCCTGGAACACTGGGCTCTGCTCATGCCTCATCTCATAACTCCTACACCAAGCCCTCCTGGCACTTTTGTCCTCTTCTACAATGTGAGTTTGCTATCCCCAATCAGTGCATCACAGGAAGCTAGTCCTATGAGATACTCTATGGAAATTCTGAATTTAATATATTTACACAGGTTCATTTACTCTGAAAGCTCATAGAAGCTAAAATACACCAATGTTAATGGTAGATTCTCAATTGGACAGAGAATGAGTTCTCTTTCTCAATATTACCTGTCTATGAAATGCTCATTTCTGATTTGATACCTCTTAACCTACTGTTCTGTGGTAACACTGGATTCAATGGTCTCCAAGATCCCTTTCAGTTCCACAAATGTAGTGACATGAACACAGCCTTTGGGGTCAGACAGACTTGGAGTCAAAACCTGGCACCACCAGATATGAGTTTGATGAGCTGAAAAGCTGCTTCACTTTTCTGTCCTATTATGTTTCCCTTTGTGATACAAGGGAGATAATCCTCTACTCGGGGTTTCTGTGAGGACCACATGAAAGGGTGCTACTGTGAATTGCCTACGAATCTGCCTGAATGCCGCTTATGTTCGCCAATTAATGGCTCTCATTGATAATAAGAGACAACATTTATTGACTGCTACTAAAAGTGGGGCACTGTACTTTTTACATCAATGATCTTATTTAAGCTACAAAGTTACCATGTGCAGGCATTACTAAAATCATCTGATTTATGTATATACCGGAAACTGAGGCTTAGAGAGAGATTAAATGACTTGCCCAAGAACAAATTGTGGCAGGGCAGGATTCAAACACCAGGTGCCAAGTCCCAAAGCCTATAGGCTAAACCACTATGTTACTATGCATCCCTAATGTAAATCAGGAGCCACTATTACCTGTTTATAAGTCCAGCCTGAGTACTAACTATTGAGCTACAATGTCCATTGTGCCATGCCTCAGCTTTTTAAAGGTCAGACTCTCGAAAACCCTGATTTTTCTTGGAAGTTTTGCTCAGCAAATACAAGGAATTCATGTGTCACCATGCTACAATGGTATTATTACAATGTCTTAGAATGTCATCTTCAGCAAATTCTCTGTAGCTTTCACGTCTGGCATTGAATACTGATGGCAATGAACGCATAACATATTGTTGCAATTGGGGAAAATCTTTTTACAGTGTTCAAACCCCTCACCTCCCTTTGGGCTTATGCAGTAAATAAGTTTGCTCTTACGTGGAACAATGTGTGGTTTGCCCAACTTCAATAGTAGCAGACCTGCTGAAAGATATGGAACTTGGAGTCAGGGTTATTGACTCTCACTAACCAGCTCTGTGACCACAGGCAAAACATTTTTGCTTCTCAGAGCATCAGTCTCCTGGTATTTAACAAGAAAATACCTGAGCTGGATTATCTCTGAGGTTTCCTCCAATTCTGCAATTTTTCTGAACACCAAGCCATGCCCTCACCTCATTTGCAGAGGTCCAGACTAGAACAAAATATATAAAAACACTCACGGAGTGAAGTATCACATCAAGTCGCAGCCACTGGCATACAAAAAGTAAAAATGCTAACACTACAGATTTGGATATTCACCCTGGTAATAGTGAGATTTAATTTCAGCAGAGAGCTTCCATATCACATAATGTTGTATCGTTGCACTACGTTTTACTTCCCCTAGCAAATAAAGTACACAGGAAAAAAAATTGAAAAGAACATACATTGTTTTATTGTCTTGTGAAATTGCTGGGTTTCAAGCCAATAGAATGCCTTAATGCTCAAGTTCTCGAGGGTGATACAAAGTGCAGAGCATCTCTGTTTGTGAGGCTAAATTTAATAAACAGAGTAATCCCCTGGCAGGCCCTGGGATTTTTCTAATATCCTGATGGTGTCAAGGGAGAGGGCCTTGATATGTGAAAAATAGCATAAGACCTTACAACCAAGACTTACTAGAAACAATTGCCCTTTAATTGAGGCATCTGCCTTTCACATGTTGTGGTGCTGAATTGGACATAATTTTAATTGTTTGTGCACCGTCCAGAAGCCATGGGGTGCTGTCCACATGTCATGGTGCTGAACCAGAAGTTTCTAAATCCAGTGTTACCCAGCCCAGTCTTGGGTATTAGGACACAAAGACTACTGTCCTCTATAAGCTATTAAGACATCCTTATTCTACACCCCTAGAGGATCTTTTAAATACAAATAAATGCAAAATTTCTGCTAAGAAACATCATATTACTGCAGCATAATCATCACCTCTACCATTTTTGAGCACCTATTGTGTCCCAGGCAGTGATAAGTATTTTCTGAACCATATATAAATATACAGTATTTTATATGTTAGTCCTATAATGACACTTCTATAGAAAACGCCATCCTATGCCAAGTTCCCTATAAGCATAGCCAAATTGGGGGAGGGGGCAGTTCCTATGCAAATGATTTACTACTAGAACATTCTCAGGGGAAGGGGAGCTAGGGGAGTTGGTGTGGGGAGCAGAAACCTAAGCAAGTGTGAAGAGACCAGACTAAAATGTAGAGCACAAACTGCATGACAGAGTTGATTCCACGTTGAGGGATGGGCCTTTTAGTATCCTTGTGTCAGTCATTGGCTGTAGACTTTCCAGGGAAAGGGACACCTCCCAGTTGGGGTGGCTCCCATTAGACCCGAGAAATTCCCCAAAGAGGGCAACATTGAGCAGCCAATCCATTCAAGCAGCCAACATTCAAGGATCTGGGAAATGAGTGCACCAACATGGTAAAGAGAATCTTAACATAGCCCCAACTGCATCTACTACACTGTTATAGTGCTACCTAGATTCCTTTTACCAGTTTCTTGTACATTGTTCCAGTTACTGCTACATAACAAGTCACCTCCAAAACTGAGTTGTTTAAAACAAGAACGATTATTTATTTTGCTCATGATTCTGCAACTTGAGCAGAGTTCAGCGAGGGTGGTTCATCTTGGTTTCGTGCAGCATCATGTGGTAGCTCAACTGAAGGATCCACTTCCAAAAGTGCTCACTAACGTGGTTGGCAAACCAGTGACGTCTGCTAATGGGAGATTAGCCAGGGCTGAGGGCTGGGATCCTTGGTCTCTCCCTACATGGGTCTCTTCATGTGGCCTGAGCTTCGTTAAAGCAGTGTGGGTGGATTCTAAGTGCAAGTGTTCCAAGCACAGAGCTGTCACCTTTCACAATCTGGCCTCATAAGTTAAATAGCCTTCCTTCTGCTGTTCATTCATCAAGGCACTTATGAAGCCCTCAAGTCAACAGACTATACCTCTGGATGGAGCAGTAGCAAGGTCCTTAATGTGCTTATGGGGGCCGGCCGCGGTGGCTCATGCCTGTAATCCTAGCACTCTGGGAGGCCAAGGCGGGAGGATGGCTTGAGCTGGTCTTACTTTAAGACCAGCCTGAGCAAGAGTGAGACCCTGTCTCTACCAAAAAGAAAAAGAGCTTATGGGATGGGAAATATTGCTGTGGTCACTTTGGGGAAATACTTGGAACTTGCATCTCCTCACCAGCTCTTGTGTCCTTTTTTTTTTTTTATTCTACCTGTGACTTGAGACTAGAAAGCACCCAGGAGTCTAGCCGCCCTAGGAAAGCCCTAGCTAGTGACTGACGAAGGCAGGGGTATAAAAGCTCCTTGCTGCAAACTGAAGCACACTTAGAGGGAAAGTTTACATTCCAAAGCTTCTCTGCAGTAGTAGACCGAGGCTTGGGCTTCCCTGAAACCACACTATTGTTTTGCTTCTTCCCATGCCCTGCCCTGCCCTGCTTCCCCTACTATTTTATTTTTTACCAGTTTCTACTGGGAGCATTTCCTTAGTCATTTGCACATGAATCCTCATCTCAGCCTCTGCTTCTGGGAACCTCACTTAAGACAACTTTTCTCTTAGGAAATCATATCCACCATGTCACTTTTCTAATATTTAGACACGTATCACCTTGCAATCTCCCGTTTTATGCTGTTTCACCAACTTGGATATCATCATTTATCTTTATGCTTGGTTTCCTAAGCACTGGATTGTACCGTATCCTATTTATCTCCATTTCCCCAATTCCTGAAAAATAGAGAATGAAGACTGTGGAGCGCTGACTGTGTGCTGGGTACTGCTGCCCTCTTGGATCTCATGATCTCACCTAATTATGAAAATAATTCTTATGAAGAAGATTATTATTGTATCACCCTCATTGTATAAATAGGGGCTGTGATGTTCAAAGACAGGATCATTATTCTACACAATTTCGGGAGGAGTCATGAACAGAATATTCTATGGGAAAGCACCCCTGGGGATTTGGGGTGAGTGATGCCCCCTAGAGTTGTGCAATATATTAGTCCTTCTCAGAAGGACAAAGAAACTCCCCTAACGTGACTCAGCAGGGGAGTAACGGAGCATGGATTTGACTGTCTATTTGGCTCCAAAGTCCTCTTTTAAGCCAAAATACCTTCTGGCAGTTAAGATCCGTAGGTTATTTTTAATCTCGTTCTTTTACCTCAACTAAGCTTTTTAATGGTTGTGTTCCTTGTGTGGTGGTAAAAAAATATATATATAATATATTTAATAATAGTAAAATAAATTCTTGAGCAACCTGAAAATAGCCTGCCATATTCTTTAACCAAAGTCTGTGGCGGGGGCGGGCAGGTATTTACAAGATCCAGTGGCCTAAGAAAGAGCTGCCTTCCAACAGGAGTTGAATGGAAAGTTACTAGGAAAGGGATCAGGGCCCCCGTGACCTGAAGAAACTAGAATTTTCTGCCAGGCACAGCCATGTTTTTCTTCTCTGATTTTCTAGCTGGCTGTCTCCCTCTCTGCT